TAGGGTCCGAAGGAGGGAAGGAGAGAGGATCTCGCTGAACGGAACTTTGGACAGAATCAAGGACTTTGGCTAACGTTCTCTGAGATGTCGAGTGTTTTCCTGGGTCACCGAGAATGTCCGCAAAGATCGAATGACAAGCGAGACTACAAGTCTCATTGTCAGATAAATCTCGCGTGTATGTTTTCATAAAGTAGAGAAATATTGACGAGTAATGTCTTTTAAAATTAATCTTTGTCGCGAGATTTTCAATATTAGCTATGATGCAGCTAAGGATTTAACAAACATTGTATCTGAAATAATGTTGGGCTTTTGTCGAGATTTTTTTTAAAAACACGACGTTCTTTTGCAAGCACGATCTAAATTAATCGTTTTATAACTATATTTATAATTGTATTATTTAAAAAAATTCTTTCTCGATAAATTTATTCCTTTTTACGTATTGATTGTACAAAATGCAAAATGTATAAAATTACACTGACTTGCAAACAAGACGCTGACGAACATGGGCGGAATAATCCTACGCTGCAGATAATGTAAATGTTATCTCCTGAAGAAGTCATCGAAGGTAACGAGACCTTACAACGACAACATTACGTTAAGATTGTTGTTCAAAAAAAGAATAGAAAAAAAACACGTCGTATAATCTACCTCTGAGAAGACTTTATACGTGAAAATTTCCACAAGATAATGACCAACAAAAATTATTCCGAATCAAATAGATTATTTTCTAATAAATGAATAATACATAAAAATTATTGCTTTTAGATGAAACTGTAATGCAAATAATATTTTAACAATATTTTTATTGTTTAAAAATAAAAGTATAAATTATTAGTCTCTCATTTATGTACTTTTTAATTATCGAATTTTTTTTCCATTTCTCTATTTAGATTTAAAAAATTATAATTTATACTACTGTGTTTCACCTACTAAATATACATTTCATTTTCACGTTTAAGCAATTCATTTTCCAAAAACACGCTCTTCCAAGAAATAAAAATTTAGATGATCTTCTTATATTAATTCTATAATTTCGCGATTTTTATATTTACTTACACTTTTATATTTACTTACATTTTTATATTTACTTACACTTTTATATTATTTAAAATATAATATTTTAATTATTATATTACACGTTTATATTATTAAATACAGAATTTATTCCACAATTGTGAGCATGTTAAATTTTTAATAATATATTTGCATTTCGAATAACTCGAAAAAAAATTGACGATGCAATTATTTTAACTTTCTGTAATTTTTATTGTTGTCATTATCTCTATTTTAACAAATATTGTATTTGTCATTAAAGCGTTGGACGCGAAAATCTTGATAGAAACGCGACCGTCGATTAATTTAGATCGTGCTCGCAAAAGAACAGCGCGTCTTTAAAAAAGGGTCTCGACAGAACCGCCATTATCCTGGATACACCGGAATACACTGTCTGTAGGTGTAGGGGCTGCGGCCAATCGAAAAGGAGGGTGTCATTGTTACGTGTCGCGCACGCGAGCAAGCCGCGCTTTTAAAATCGCGCGGTCCGAACGAGGGCAAAGGGGGTCAGGGAAAGGGACGCGCGAATTGAATAAAATAACGATCCGCAACGGGCGACCGCGGATCCGCGTTATCTGGATGCCACAGATTGGGGTTGCCTGGATCACCATCCAGGGCCGATCTATTAGGGTAAAATACAATGATAGATCCCTCCCACCAGTGGAGCAGTTCTGATTCAAGTAGTATGAGTGATCTGAACATTTCATTCAAGATTATGTTTATTTCCGCCGTGCGATTATTATTAAATAGCTCCTTTATAATAATATACCGTATTAATTCTGATATTATCTATTATATGAAAAAAATTGTCTGTAAAAAAAGTGCCTGTGAAACTAAATGTCAAAATAAATTTTTATTAGGATATTGATATAAATTTTTCGCATTAATTAGTACTAATCATAATTATTATTAATTAGCACTAATTATTATTAGTATATTACATAATTCAAACCTTCATACAAACCTTACCAAAAAAATTATTATTCAGTGATAATTAATAAAAACAAACTGTACTTTATTTTAATATAGCAAAATATTTAGAAATGACATGGGACATCAAACTTAAAAGGAACATATGAAAAAAAGTACAAAAATTAAATTTCAAATAAAGAATGTATGAAAGAATGTATTGACTCGAAAGAAACTCTAAATTGTAATTACATTATCAAATTATTGTGAACAATAACACACGAATTTGAAAGTTGAAATAAACATTATTCAATTTTAGGGATAAGCAAAGGAAAATTTATAAATTTATAAATTATAATTTATATGCAGGGATTAAACCAATGCGTGGAATTCTATATTCGTCGTTAATCTAATTTTAACAGAACGAAATTGTTATTGTAATTAATTTAAAAATTAATTAATTAAATAAAAGAGAACGGAATATTAAATTTTGATTTTAAATTAATAATTTTTAAAATATGAATAAACTTATAACTGTATAGAGCTATTTAACTCTATAAACATACAATTTTTTCTTACAATTAAACTTACAATCTAACAATTTAACTAACTTATTTAAACTAATATTATTTGTGTGATCAACTACTTAAATTTATTTATTGAAAATATACCTTTAAGAGAGCCATCATCAGTATTTATCATATTCATCAGAAAAGCTCAGGCCTCAGTGGTTTGAAGTGAAATTTGTTTATTGGAAAAGCGTCAGCCAGACGAAATTAATTTTGTATATATATATTGAAATGGCACGATCGCTTTATTGAAGATAATTTTATTTATTCGACAAGCATGTATTTCTCATACAAGTAATCAATGAATTTATTTATTGAAAATGTACGTTAATACGTTAGTATCAGTTTTATCCATTATATAAACGTGTTCAGGGAAACTAAATTAAATTTGTTTATTGGTAACGCCGTCAAATAACCGAAGTTAATTTTATTTATTGGAAAAATATAATCGGATTATTGAAAATATACGTATAATTTTATTTATTTGGAGCCACTGCTGTGTCATTGATTATTGACGAATTAATTAATACTTATTCGATGACACGAATTTATTTATTTAACAATACATGCTCCGGTTATCAGTATTAATTTTAATATTTGAGAAAAGTCCCCAAATCATTGAAACTCATTTTATACATTTAAAATACACCGCATTTATAAATTACTCAGATAAATTTATTTATCGTTAAAAGCGTTAAAGTACTTATACAAAATATTGTAGAAAAAAGTGTAATGCATTTAAACAGTATATGTCTATCATTTATGCAGATTGAATATTCCCACGCATTTTTTTTCTAATCACACATATATAAATTAATACAATTCTTGCAATTATTTTCGTCACCTGCATTTATTTACCACACGTAACGATAAAAATTATTGTTAATGTATTTGAAAGCGTAACTTTTATATCGTATTAATTCTGATATCGTTTATTGTACCCAAAAATATTGCGCAAACTGCCCATCGCAGTTGACACAGTATTTTTATGTACAATAAACAATAGGAGAATTAGACAAGACATGACTCGACGACGAACAGGTGAAGGATTAATCACAAGAGTGTAACAAATAAATGAGTTTACTCACCGCAATCTCCTTCTCGTCGCCATCTTTTTCCTCTGGATGTGTTTTGATGGGTAAAGAACAGAAGGATGTGCAGTCCACCACTTTGCCAGGCACTCACGATATAGGTTACATTCGCTCGATGCACGAAAGATTCGGACCGCACTCGATTTCACGCTCGATTAACGCGACACGCACGTGGCATCTCATATTTCGCATTCTCGACGTATTTCTAAGCGATAAACAAATATAATATTAAGATACTTGCACGCACGATTCCAGTTCGTTGCACTCGATACACTTGTGAAAAAATTAAAGACCGTACGCGAGTAACTTCACATCGGCACCGACTTCACGCATCACTTGACTTGCCGACATGATACAATATGTCGAGCACTGCGATATTATTAATTATGTATACTTTAAATTACCGCAATTCTGTTCACTTGAAATCCACGCCTTTAATACGAGCTATCACGACGAGACGTGTCACTTGAATGCGCCGTACTACTGTATAGTAAGACAACGAATTGCGAGCAAGGTCGCGCGCGCGTGACGTATCACCCGAAACTAAACAAACGAGACTCAGTGACGTCACGTGAGGTGCGTGACGCGCAGAGGACGCCGGCCTGATCTAAAATAAAATTTTCACCATTACGGCGTGCTTCAACTTGAATAAAACAATGGCAATAAATTCACTGTAAGTAATTCACTGTATGTAATAAATGAGTCTCGAAAGCAAAATTTAGTTTTCGACGAGAAAAGATTGTAATATAAATCTCGCGAACATAAAATATATGGATATAATATATGGTATGTTCCACTTGGTATTATCAGTGCTTTAAAGCGTCTCTGATTGGCCAATTAGAAGACTAGTTCTTTCAGGTTTGATCAATCAAAGCATATGTAACATTAAGATGAACAGTCATGGAATATATAAAATATTTAATAGAAATATTTTTTTTCTTAAGGGATAGATCCCGAGAATTGTTTATTATAGAAATGAGAGACTAAATTATATTGATAAATTATATTAATTATATAGAATAATAGAGATAATAGAATAATGAATTATGCATATATTATTTTACTTCACTTTAATATATAAAAATATTTTACTTTATTTTATTATAAATTTGTTTAGGTTATTCTTATAAATCTGTACTTTTTCTAATATTTATAATATTTTCATTCATCAAGTATTATAGAATAGTATTATAGAATCGAATTATATCACCTTCGCTTTTCTTTCCGTTTTCATAATCGAAATTCCACGCAAAAAACGATGGGCGTTCGGAGACGCGGCGCGACTCGTGACGTCATTGCCCGCGGGGAAATTCCTGTGCTTTTTTATCACTAGCGTTTTCGTAGTCGAGCAACGAGCGTCGTAGGTGTGAGACGCGTATGTGTGTACGGGCGATTTAATGCGTGTCACGCGTAACTAAAATAGTTTAAAACGTGCGTAACTGAAATAGTTTAAAACGCGCGTAACTGAAATAGTTTAAAACGCGCGTAATAAGCTCCGAAAGATATAGCTCCGACGACATTATATGTGATAAGAGTTTTCATTCGACTCGCTAGGGGCCAGCTTTGTTTTTACTCGTGTAGGACCCGTGACGTAGGACATTAGACCGTTAATTTCGCGCAAAACGCATCTCGCATCGTTTCTCTCGTCATTTTCGTAATCGAGTCCCGCCTGCAACAACGATGGAGCATCGTCGTTAATTAGCATGGACGGCTATAATTAACGAAATCCCGTAACCGGTACGTATCGAATAAACGATGGAATGTCCCCGTCGATATATTCTATTTGTTAAGACGCGTTGCTTGTTCGCGATCGATACGCATCTCGCGTCGCATAGTTCGTTGTATTAATTATGGGGCGCAATTAATAATTAACAGCATTAGATTCTCATATTTTAGTATCATACGTAGCATTATTCAATTATATCTTATCACGTCAAATATTCGATATATTTTTTAAAAGAGCGAAAAGAGGAGGAAAGGTGGGGGGAGAGAGGGGGGGGAGAGAGAGAGAGAGAGGAGAAAGAAAGAGAGGGAGAGAGCAGTATTTTTATTACTATGTTTATATATTATTTTTTTTTTTCAGCTTTTTCCGAGCGACAGTGGTAATAGAAATGGCGAGACTCGTGACGTCACATTTTTTACGCTGCAAAGTTGCCACGCATTTGATATATCACTAGTCTTTTCGAGTGACGTAGTCGAGCATAGCAAGCGTCGTCGGGCAGTTTAACAGTATTTTACGTTATTAAAATCGTTTAAAGTGCGCGTTAAAGCTGATCGGGAATGCGAAACAATGAGCGTGGATTAGATTTTTATTTTGACTCGATCGTCATTGTCATTGCATTTTCTTGCCGCGAATTCGATGGTCGATTGAAGATGGCGCCGTGAAAATCGGGAGTGTCGTTGCAAAGTGACGTGCGATCTCGTTCGCGAATATTATTTATCGAAATAAGTCATATAAAGTCACGGGCGATTGATCAATTATAATTGACCGCGTTTTTCCGAGTGATTTGTGTTCGAGTGTTGGGCGAAGAATTGACAACGGTGATGATTGAGCGAGAAGAAAATTGCGGTGAGTAAATCCATTTATACCTTACTTTTGTGACTAATTATTTACCTGTTCGGAATGATTTAGCGTCGTCGAGTCACGTATTCATCGCGTCTTGACAGGCAGTTAACATTGTTGTCTCGAATATACATTGCGATGTGTAATAAAAAGCAAGATATATATATATTATATATATATATCTCCTTTAATATATATATATATCTCCTTTAATATATTCTCACCTCGACAATGAGATAATAAATTTGGTTGCGCGTATAAATTAATGTAATTTAATTTTGATACTTTTAATTTTGATACTTTAATTTTGATACTTTTAATTAGCAAATTAATAAAATTATTTTTTTATGTTCTTTTTGCAGATCAACTTCCGGGAGTGCAGCCGAGTTCCATGTCATGTACGTTACTTGAGTTATGCTGATTGCGAGTCGTGCCAATATTATTATAATCATCATATGGTGAGTCACATCATTTTTTATTGCTCATGTTAGAATTTTAAGGTAATGGATTAATGCAAAAATAATGAGTAATAAAATTATGGAACATTCCTCTTTAATTAATAAATGAGTTTGAGTTCTAATTCAAATTAATATATCATTTTTTTATTAACTTTTTTATTCTTTATTAACTCATTTTTATTTATTTGTATAAAATATAAAAACATAATATATTTGTATTAATATACGATAATGTTGTTAACTACTAAATTTAAAAAATTGTAAAATATAATAAGAATAATACATATACAAAAATCTATTTGTATTATTTATTATTACAATATTTAGTGTGTTAAAAATATTTTCAACTAAGCGAAAAATGAAAGAATTATAAATTTTATAACACTCTTATCTCTACTTTAATTATTTTAAATCCATTATCTTAAAATGAGAAAGAATAAATTTATGAAATATTTATAAAAGTATTTAATTCTGAAAAGCATACACTTTTTTCTTATCGATTTAAATTAATGTTATTTGTGTGGTCAATATAAATTTATTAATGTATTTTTAAGAGAGCCTGAATTAGTATTCATCAGAAAAGCTCAGACTTTAATGATTCAAAATTAAAGTTAGTGAAAAAAATGTCAGCAAACAAAATTATATATATATATATATATATATATATATATATATATTTTTTTTTTTTAGAATGATATAATCATTTCATTGAAGATAATTTTATTTATTCGACAAGTGTATTTTTCACACAAATAACTAATGAATTTATTTATTAAAAATATATGTTGACATGATTATAAGTATCAGTTTTATCCATTATTAAACGTACGAGGAAATTAAATTAATTTTCTTTATTGGTAATGTCATCAAACAATTGAAACTAATTTTATTTATTAAAAAAATATAATCGGATTATTGAAAATATATATAATTTCATTTATATGGAGGTTCTATTATATTTGGTTATATTGTTGCATTATATTAATCAATATTTATTTGATGTTTATTTATTAATTTATTAATAATACATTCGAATTATCAGTATTAATTTTAATACTCGAGAAAGGTCCACTAATTATTAAAATTTATTTTATACATTTAAATCATCGGTTTCGCAAATTATTCAAATTTAATTTATTCAGATTAAATTTATTTATTATTGAAAGCGTATGTTTATAAATGTTATTGAAGAAAGTGTAATGCATTTCAGCAATATTCATATTATAAATATCATCAATGGATAATATAACTTTCTGTATTGTGAAGACAATATCAAAATTCACATAACAATATGTATGTATATGTGCAGATTATAAATTTCTATTTATTTAATGAATGCGTTTTCACGAGAGGGACTTAGATCATGAAAATAAGGTTCATATTAATGTTTGGATGTAACAAAGTAATATAAATTATAATTTTTTTATGTTTGAAATACGGAAAATTTCGAAAATTAAAAAATTTACAAGGGAAAATTTATATTTTTGAAATATTTATTATTGTTGAAATATTTATGTTTATTATTGTTTATTATATATTTATTGTTATTAATGTTTATTATTGTTAAAATATTCCTTATATCCATTCAATAATAATGAATCATATACGGCGTAAAGAGATCGGTCGCGTGATGGTTATGTCGAACGAAATCGGTTCATTGATCGCTCAGTTTGATAAAAACTGATTTACCTGCGTCAAGTGGTTGCTCAGGGTCGCGACGATCGACACTCTTTTTCATCAAGCGAATTCAGAGAGAAATTCTGTACCTAATTCGAATTATCACGCACGTGTCGTGAAAATGATGCATCGCGGTCAAACTTTCACGACGTAAATTGCAAAATACTCATTCATGCGAATTTAATAATATTTGCGCGCACTTTTGCAATCGTATATAAACGAGTACAATTATCGCGTTAGATTCATTTGCAATCATTTTCATCTTTTATTTAATTTTATTTATATAATAGAAAAAAATTATTGTTAGCGTATCTAAAATCATAATTTTCATAATATTGTCTGCATTATACACAAAATATTGCGTAAAAGAAGCATGAGATAGAAAAATCAAGTATGTATAATAAAAAAAAAAAAGTTTTTATTAAGATGATGACTCGTGCTGTAAGTTGATAGAAAAAGAGCTTACTAAGAATTAATTAGTAATAGCTATTAATAGCATTGTCGGGAAATACCGATGTCACAAATGATTTCTATGTCTGTACGTGCGTGCAATCGATACGCAAACACGAATCCTGCAAGGGACCGGTGCCGGTTATAGTTGGTGGCTTGCAATCATTATGTGTAGGCCCTCGCGAATGTTTGCGCAACACAAGCGTCGGTGGTTTGCTGCCACCGGCGACGATTGACTTGTCTGAATAACAGCACCTGTGCCGCTCTATCGAAAATAATTATTCGACAAACACGGGATGAGTTGTTTCTTGCGTCGAAATTAGGCGATAATTCTTTAATTATACAAAACGCGATTTATTTCCGAGATTACGCTTAATTTTAAAAATTTATATTTTTTTATACGATTAATAAACTGCACATTAATGAATCAAAATTATTTTTAATTATTTTAAGTTTATTATTTGTTTTTTTTTTAGTGAAAAAGAGATAAAATATATAATCTCGATATGCGGGAGGTAATTTTCTATAATTGAACGATAAAAAAAATTCGAATTAAAAGTGCAATTTTTTTGTTTGCGATATGTTTCGATCAATGGAAAGGGGGAAAGGGGGAGGGAGACTCTATTCACATAAATCTGAAACTAGAAATTTATTTTATTTCTTTCATTATTGTTTGGGAATGCCTGGAAGCTTTCGTGTCAATCGAGATGGGCTATTATTCAATGAATACAAGGTGGTAAATAACTTCTTTAAAAGTGAACTTGTGTGTGTCTTGGTTCTGGCATCCGGACCTTCAATTCGGAATGTCATTGTGCAGTTTATGAATCGAACACTGTTCTGTTTGTGGAGAAGCATAAAGCATCCAAACGCGAACAAAGCTAACACAGGGAGGGAGAACCTATGGATACATTGATCTAGCGATCCATCTAGTCGTGTGTAGTTCTAATCTTGTTCGATAGATCGGGGAATTTCAAATCCACAGCTTAGTATACAAAACTTTTTGAAAAGTTCAATATTTTAGTAGTTTGACAGAAAAAAAATAAATTGTAGCATTAGTTGAAATATCGAATTAATAAATTACATTATAATCTCTCAAGATAACAATTTTAAATATAAAGAAATTTATGAATAAGTGTATAAATTCAAAATTGATTTTGATTTTCATAAAGTTGAAAGGTGAGAATGAGAGTTCAAAATGATTCACAATCGCTTACATTAAACGATCTTGCTTTTGCCACTCGTGACGTGAGTTATTCTTCCTTATATAATCAATTTAATGAGAAGCCGGTTTTGGTACCTCCTTTTGATCAATGATATAAAAAAAATATACCGACACTGATGCTGAGTAAACGCTGATAAAATGTATATAACTTGTATTTAATTTAATGATCATGTTGCTGTGTATATGTGAAGGAAGTTGATTGCACGGATACTTTCAAACAACATTCAAGAATAATTGAGTAACGTTAAGTTGATTAACGAATTATAATAATAATCGGTAAATACTCGCATATCTCGAATGAAAATTTATCGTGGAATATATTAATTTTATTAGACATGCAAATGTGTCTGGTCATTGAATCTGATTGTCAGGAAAATTTGACTAAATGTAATATGTAATCAAATTAATAATTGTTTTATTAATGCATTCAAATGATTCCTGCGGCGATTGAATGACAGTAAAAGATAATCAGATAATATTATAATGCTGATTAAAGTCAAATTACAGTCAATAATTAACGAAATGTATGTCTTTTTCCCTGATATTATTTAGTTGATGAAATGCGTAAGCGATAATTAAATTGAGCATTTTATTAGCGGAGATTGGTGATTTTTGTAATTGATGATTTTTGCGATAGAAATATGAGAACATTAATTATCATAATATGAATTATAATAAAAAAGATCAGATAAAAAATCTTTAATGTTCCGTTGCAGATTTTTTTCGATATTTTCTGAAACATTGATAAAATATATTAATTTTGGAAATAAAGAAATTGAGAAATTAATATTTATTAATAATCTTATTCTTACAACAATTATAAAGTCAAATTTTTCTGACAATAATTGTATGATATTAATAGAAAGTTACTTAAATGTTTTTTCATATATATTTATAATTTTATAATATGTATCAATTTTATTAGAATTTTTATTGTCTTGTTTATCTGACCTTTTTTCTTGGCTATCAAATATATCGGTATATCAAATATATCGATATTTCATACAGCGATTATGCTATATTATTGAATGTCCTACGCATACTAATTCCTGATATCCGAAATCCCGTGCATTCCAAAGTCCGTACTAATGAAGTCGTGAGAGGTCGGTCAGGAATGGTGACGCGGTCGAGCGCGCTTTCGGGCAGCAGGAATCGAAAAAGGGGAAGGGTAGATAGATGATTTAGATTCCACCTAAACGATCTGTCTAAGCCGGTCTGACGGCCCGGTGCAGGTCAAGTTCATCGCCGTTCACTTGGTATAATGGATTTAATGAGAAGGTAGCCACCTCCGCGCATCCCGAGATGTGTCAGGAGTTATCCGGGTCGGGACAGGGAGAAATCCTGTATCCTTGTTCACGCTTCCTGCTCGCAGAAGCACGCATGGGACGAAAGGGCGCTTGAGATGATCTTTCTGGGATCAGAAACAATGGACGTGCCTCTCGAGAGGATAACGACGAGGTGAAAATTGTCAGTTTGTCGTTCCGAGGGGCGTGCACGAGGGTCCCTAATCACTGTTCTCGCGGCTGGTATCTTGTTATCACTCGCCGCGAGCTACTGTATAGTTTGCGGCCCTTTTTATCCAGTCACCGGCCGAATTAACAATGCCGCCGTGACGTGTAACTATTCATTACATCTTTTGGCGAGATACTCTCAAAATGACACGAACTCATTCAGGATAGAATGCTTTTGACAGGGATAACGAAAAAAATTGTTGGAAACATTATTATATACTATTATACACACACAAGCTTATATTTTATTTCTTTTTTTTTTTTTTTTGAGATTAAATTCATGAATTGGATTTAAATTCTTTTCAAGCGTTGAAAGGTGCACGAAATAATTCGTTGAATGTGCGAATTATAAAATTTAGATTCTACCTCTATTCGCACACGCGAAATCAAAATTATAAAATTTTTATATAAAAATTTGATTGATATTTAAAAAAATTTGTTAAAATAAATTAAATAAATTTATAATTTAGAAATATTTTCCAAAAAAAAATACTTTTGAATTTAAATACTTGTAAAAAATTTTATACAAATTTTGAATACTTTTACTAAATAATATTATTATATTAATATTATTTAATATTATATTTTTTGATATATATTTTTATGCGATGAAAAGACGAAGAAATTTATCATATTGAAAACTGCAAAAATTATTCGCGCCGTTAGTTAAAATAAATCGCAACCGTTATGTATCTTGGCTACACAATGTGAATTGAAACTCGACGCTCGGGTGAAGTTTGGAAAGACTAAGAAAAAGAAAAGGCTTCGACCATGCCATTGCGTTGCCCATTGTCGGCTTAGAAAGAACGGCAGCTGAATGATCACGTACACGTGAACTGCCAAGAAATGTTTAGAAATTCGAACCATTTATGCTTTCGCACCTTCATGGTTCTGTCCCTTGTAAATCGTGAAAACACCTTACACTCTTCAGCTAAATCTTCAGCTAAAGCTTCAGGTAAATACAAGCTTTTTCTTTGAAATATTACGAATAGGTCCACGGAAATGAGGTTGCAGTCATCCTCCCGCTAAGATAAACTTTTCTTTGGGAATATATAATAATATATCTTTTCAAAATCTAACCTTTTTATAACTCTTCATTCTCTCGGGTACTCATTCATGCATACTCTTTTTGACCCGCATGTAAGCATAAAAACTATTCTTCTAGATTGTATAAAGTTATTCTTCTAGCTTGTATATAAAAATTTCTTTGCTAAAAATCCCGAGAGTTTCATAAATAATATATGCAAAAATAATTGAATCTTTTTTAACAAGAGAATTATTTAAACGTGATTATTTAGTTAATTAATTTATTATATTAAATGCTATTAAGGAGATTAATGTTAAAATTGGAAGAGGAATATGTCAACACATGTAGTGTTTTCAAGGTTAATATTATTTATTTTTCATTTACGGTACAATATTTATAGCTTACTTTTGTGTCGCTTGTAATATTATACTCGGATAATCGATACATCGTAAGGTTCGTAACGATACGAATACAAAGGTTATATGGTATAGCAGGAAGACCTCGCTCTTTGAGAACGAGATATTTTCCACAGTTTATTTTTCCTCTCGCAAAATCGATTTGTTCGACATGGTAAAGCGAAAAAATCTAACAAGATAGAAATATCACGTATTTCTGTCAATAAATTAACAAGAATTATAATTAATAATCACTGTTGATTATTTATTTTTTAAAACTCGTACTAAAATGCGCGACAAAAGGAGCGTCTTTATAGTATCTCCGCAAAGAAACAATGCAAGATATATCTAGCTAAAAAATTAATAATAAATATCTATTTATATCGATAGATAATGTGTTCTTACATTGTTTTTAATAAAAAGAATAATTACCGTAATTTCTCGATGAGAATAAAATAAAATGCACTTATAAGAAAAAATTAAATAAAATTTTTTATAAAAGTTCTACTTGTGGGATATCGGCTTGAAAATTTTCAACGCACAAAACTGATGACATTGACTTGATTTTAATAATTAATTTAGTAATTGATAAAAAATCATTGACGAAATTTTACTTTCAATCTCTTTATCGTTAATTTAAAATGTGTATGAAAACTTTTGTTTTTTTTATTACTCAAGATTGTTTAATACTTTATCAGTTTGGTTATATTAAGATTGAACATATCTTTGTAATCAATTGTGTGAGTTGAAAAAGGAGAAAAACAAAGAGACTTGCTTACTTCATTCCATCGAGATCAAATCACTCGCGACAGGTTTCGGACATCATTTATGCACACGATCCCATTTGTACTGCTTTCTTCGTCGAGGACTAAGCTCGTACGCGAGGATGGAAACCGTAAGAAAGCGGATTCGGGTGCGGATATCCGGTAAAGCCCAGTTTTTGCTACACTATTTACACAAGGACTATGTACAATATGTTCTTAACACGTCCCGGTTAAGACTAGTCAGTTAACGATATAGCGGAAACCTTCGCGGTTTTCGTTGTCGTAACAATGTTATCGTCGCTAATCCGGTATTTGCTTCTGGGAATAGTCAGTTGGTCAATTTTAATCTCGCTGCTAAAGCGATGCTGCTAAGCGTTATTATAATATCCAACCGGAAAACGATCTAATTTTCTTGATCACTCGATAAAATTCTTTCGGATCGAGCGTCTTAAACGATGAATGTGTCAAATTATTAAATTAACAACGTTTCCTGAAGATTTTCTGAAGATTAAATATCTCTTCGCCTTATGAACGATTCTATCTATCTTGTTCGCAGCTTCTCCAATGTTTATTTAACTGGTTCGTAAGATCTTCATTTATCAATAGCACTGAATTTGTTTGAATATTGCTTGCTATCTTTTAAAGATTATCAGAGAATTCTTCTAAAATTGAGAGTATTCTTCAGGAAATATTTCATTGCAAATCTGAAAATTCGTGATAGTTATTATGATGAGAAAATGGTGACATTGTTGAAAAGTTTGGCGAAAATCCAGTAAAATAAAGGATAGCTTATTTCAAGGAGGGAATAAAGTTTTCTATAACTCTCACATAACATTTCACTTTCGTTTCCATGAAATCCGTGTCAGATTATACAGGGGGGACCAAATCCCGTCTTCTTCCTCTTGAAGATACGTCAAAATCTCGACTTCGTTAGAAGATGACGTTTTTCGCGATCGATGATATTTCTTCATCTCGCCTCGTCAAATTCGCGAAATCTGCATCTTTAGTCGTCGCGATCCAGCCACCGCGAGTCAGGCGTCATAGCAGCTGCTCGTCGAGGATAGATCAGAGCTACGCTCTATCGGGTCAGAAGATAACTGTCAATGGCCGGCGAAAAGATTCGTTTCCCGGCGCCGGTGCCGTCTGGTATCCACCGTACTGACCCATCTGCGGGCCCAGTAGACCTCCAGCCTGGACCGGTCCGGGATAATAAGCGGGCAGAGTCGCTCCAGGACTCGCGGCCGACGATGTCGATGTCGAGCTTGCACTAGACGAGCCCTGCTCAGTCCTTTCGTGTTGCTTGCTCGTGTCTGGCGACTCGGCGGCCGGTGATCTCGCGGGTCCGTTTCCGCCGACGACGCTACCCGGGCTGGATTCCTCGTAGAGCTTGTTGGGCTCGTAACTAGATCGGCTGTAATCAGCGATGGCCGGTTTCTGATCCATGTAGAGTTTGGACTGTTCGAAGTACGCTTTCGCCGAGTCCAAGTAGGTCCGGGAGTCCAGATAGGTCTTGGGGTTGGATGAGTCCAGGTACTTGGGGTCCGGGTACATGCTCATCGCCAGGGTGCTGGGTGGCATGTAGGCGGCGCGATACTTGTCAGCTTCCATGGAATACTTCATGGCGTCCATCGAGCTCACTACCTGGAACACAAAACGAGGAGACTTCTAGCCTTGCGAATACAATACCGCTGTGGATCTTCATATTTCGTGACCACTACACGGTTTGAATATCAATTTTAAGGGGGAGAATTTAATTTATTGACAAGACTTTTCACAAGCGGAATTAAAAATCCTAGAAGAATTTATGGGAGGTCGTTATTAACTTTCGCAGATTTTTGCACTTCGAGTCCGGATCCAGATCCGTTAGAAAAACGTATACGACGGGGGATAAAAAACAGGCGACAAATTCGAGAGTCGAGATGCATTCGATTCGGTCGGCGCGCGCAAATCGCGAAATCGGTGGACGCGGACGACGCGACCCGGTTCGAAAATTTGTTCTACGTCGAAGACAACGCTGCCAAACGGCCATAAATTTCGTCACCAAGCACATTCGGATGGCCGCGCTGCCGAGTTGAGAAGGGGATGACTGGCCCCGAGAGATGAGCGGTGTTAAAAAAAGGAGAAGAAGAGAGAGGGAGGGAATAGTGCGCGTATTGCCGATTCTATAATTCGTGGCCGAAGGAAGGACCGTGCGGGATCCTTTGTCGGATCGTTAAGCGGCTTTGTCCGGATGATTTACATGCAGTCTTAGCGATGCTAAGTCTCTCCCGCCTGCTACGACCAATTGATTACACAGCGCTCCGTTTCTCTCGCCTCCAAGTCCCCCTTTTCCCTCCCTCTGCAATTCGCGAGGATCGCAACAGTGTGTCCGGAAATTAAAAAATTTCTTCTGACCGCGCGACGTTGAGATATTCGCATGAAAATTCATTCGATCGCGACGACTTCGATTATCACATTAACCGTTAAATGATCGTAACGCATGCTTTGCGAGAAATGCCTCACAAATAATTCCGGTCCGATCGAAGATCGAATTTTAAATTAATCTTGTATTGCTGAGATTGGATAAAATAACTTGAAATTTAAAAAATAATTTTTCTGGTCAACATATTCTTGAAATTTTAAACAATTATATGAAAAATTAGATATATAAAATTACGAATCTACTTTTAATAAATTCAACAAGTAAGAGATTTTTTTAAATTAATTTCATCAAGATTTATCCAACTTTTTTTTATCGATATTATTTAGAGCACAGTAAATTTTATACAATATATAATATAAAGTCAAGAATGCTAAGAAAAATTATTATATTATGTGTGTAACTGTACGTACTTTACATCGACATTATATTAAATAATCGTTACTTTCGGATATGTCTACCCTCGTCATTATCGCGATAGTTTATTCCGTCTTCATCTACGCCATCGTTTTAGAAGACTTAATTATCCAGCGCGATGTTGCTGCTAAAGAGGACAATGACACCGTATACCATTCGCCTCTGTTTTCGCTCACAAAAGACCGGCATTCTCCTTTCGCGCCATGTGTCGTCGAAGTCGAGAACGAAAGAGAATGAGCGCACTTTATTTTCCAAATGGCCTCGAAGCGGTGGGAGAGAGCATAGAGAACGAGAAAGTCAACTCCCTCACATCGCCGCATATTGTGTCGCGGCCCTCGATATTTCAGACGCTTCAACATTTTGTAAGAACTGCTTCCGAGAGAGAGATTCGCTTATGAGAGTGTGCGACCAAGTAAACGATTCCTATCATTAATTGTCGATCTTAAGACTCATTTTTCACGAATTTTATACAGATAAGAATCGATCGTGTAGCACATTTTGCTGCGATTTAATCAACTTTCTCTCTGTCTCATTATATTGCCAATTTTTACTCCGAAAGAAGATTAATTCGTCAAATCGAAGTCTTGTGTTAAATTGATTTTGATTTAGAAGATGGTGAATTTATCATCTTGGAAAGATTGCAATTTTCTCCAGAAATTCTCTAATTAAAGACTCTCTTTTTGAAACTTTTCTCTCGGAAGCGTTGGCTTAGGTCGTCGAGAGAGCCCGCGGAATTTCCTTTTTTTTCGCGATCGGATTCCTCGCGACGCTGATTGCGCTTCCGGTGCTGATGAGCCGGCGAGAGGAAGAGCTCAAACTCGGCCGGGCATGAAGATAACGTTGGAATTCTTCAAGCGTGCCGCTCGCCGTCGGTGTTCGCCAATAATGGTCGCTTGTATCGCGCCGGTGCGTCGTTCCAGACGCGTCGGCCATTCAGCCGCTGAATGCAGAAATAACTAGCTATCTGTTTGTCTCCCCGTAGCCAGCTGCGGAAATTCATACACAGACCACGGTCTCCGGTTTCTGTTTGCGAAGCCACCCGGGGGCCCCTTTGTTGCGACAACGAATGAAACGTACCTACACTCATCCTCTCTCCTGCTCTACCTTCCGTTCTTCCACCCTCATCCTTCCTTCTCCTCCTCGTTCCCCTTCTCCTCTTCCTCCTCCTCCTCCTCCTCCTCCTTTCCTGGATCGACTCTTCCTCTTTCACGCGCAATTCATCTCTCTCTTTTTCTTCTACTTTTGCTTTATTTACGCGGCCGACGATCTGTCTCGCGGACTCGATACGTCCAGTCGCCAATTGTCTCGAAGATAAATGGATTTGTGATTTGACTTTGTGGCGTTGTGAAATGTCGGCGGGTTAAATAGAAACTGCTGCTGTTGAAATAGAAACATCTCGACCAAGATTACTCTCTAATTCCTCTCTCATCTTAGATTGAGTATTTTTTATATTTACCTTTAATCATTTTTATCATGTGACTTAAATCAAAGCTTTTAGCATTTTTTCTCAAAAGATAACAAAATTACAATTTATTACAAAACTTATAATTTTAAAAAATACATACGTTATATATTTCTCTGAGAATATTTGATCCGGAAAATATTGCTAGCCGTGCAACTAAAGTAGGAACTAAAGAAAAGAATCAAATCAATAAATGAGTTTATCGAAAAATTTATGTATATATTTACGAATACGATATAAATTAATTTTCTTGATTAATTAATCTTTTTTTCACTTGATTAAACAATACCGAATGATCAATTAATAATTCGCGCGAGAAAGAGTTAAAGAGAGTTAACCGGTTATTCGCTGTATCTGTCCTGCGTCCGTAATACGTCCTGAAGCACGTTGTGTCGGGGCACTTCGCACCTACACATATATTGATGATACGAAAGAATTATCGACTTACCTGAGCAGGTGCCGCGAGACCAGACATGGCCGCCGATTGTTGTGCAGCCGCTGCCGCGGCCGCAGCCATGCTGGCCGCAGAGAGGGAACCGTAAGCCGCCGCAGGGCCGTAATAGGTGCCCATCCCGGCTTGTCCCATGCTACCGGCCATCCCTATAATGTTAACAACACGCCGGTATCGATAAATAAGACGGTAATTTGCGGGCCATCGGTAATTTTCAGCCGCGCGATATATTAATTGCACGCAAGTTGCATTTATGTAACACGGACGATGCAAGAATAATTATATTTCGTGCCTCGAGTGCTTGTAATTCTGCGGCAGATTGTTAATTAAAACGTAGGTAAGGCTGGTACGGGAATGTCAGAACGGAAATATTTTTTTACAGTTAGCCGTAAGTTGGTCGCGCGAATAGCTGGCGTTTTTTTTTTCTCGGATGGTTATTGAACTATTGAAGTCGGAGATTAACATATCTACGTTTTTGACACATACATATTATGTTTTTATTTTTTTTCTGCTTTAAATTATATAGTTTCTTCAGCCGGAAATATTGGAAAACAAAATAAGAAATAGGGAGATGTTGGTTCAGCAAATAATAAGCGGTTACTTTTGCTTCAGGATAAGAAGATTCGCGTTTTCTTTTGAGTTCCGACAATGATCGCTAATGATCATCGACTATTTTCGGTGAAGATTGATATCTGGTTCTCTATCTAACACGTCTCCGTCTCTTTTTTTCTACCGTTTTGCATGTTTTGCCATTCGTTTAGAAAGAGAAAAAGAAAGGGAGACGAGAACGTATACTGGGTGGCTTATCGATCATCGACAAAACCTTCGACGAAGTCCCATTGTTGAGTGAGGACGATAGCGACCGGGAGATGTTGCTCATTCGCCTCGTTTCAGCCAAGCTAACCCGAAGAAGGATGATTGGCGTTGAGTTTCTCGAGATTTATGATCGTCAATGACGTCCGAAGATCTCGCCAAAGGTGAGACGAGTGTTTCGGCGATCGACATGCTGCCCGATTTTGGACGTGAAAAAATCGCGCAAGATCTTTAACGGAATTCCCGATTCGTCATATGCTATTTGCTTCATGAAGCAAACTTATTACATCGATTATTTTATGAATAGATTTTGTGGGAATTCAAAAGCTACATTAAATTCGACATATTTTTTATATGTATGCATAAATTATTTTTATAAATTTAAAATAGTTATAAAAATAATTTACACGTATATATTTCTACATTTTAAATCAACACTTAATGTAGATATCTTGGATAATATAAATATATTGCTTACCGATAGCAGAGATTCTAACTCTCTTACATTGATTTAAAGTGAAATATCATCTAGAGAGAGAGACTAGAAAACATCAAGTAACTGTTTTTATAGTAACTTCGTTAAAACGCATTATCAGATTTTTTTTGTATCGAGTTTTTGCCTTTTCGATTCAATTAGAGTTAATCGGACGTGGTGAAGTTTATTTACGGCGTCTGTCGATTTTGATTTATCTTTTCCGTCGACGGAGATTCGAGAACAGATGTTCGATGAATCGGTCTCTTGGTACGCGCGAGTCCCCTCGGTTTACAGAGATTTGTTTGCCGTTCCTGGGCTGCTATTGTCTTCATTGTTTCGCACTTCGTACCGGATTACGTAATTTTGAATTTCCATGCCGGACGAAGGCGCGAGGGAGACGCAACCTGATTACTAAGTCTAAATATTTTACGCGCGTCGTGACCGTCTGTCGCAATTCTCCCGTCGCATAATAATTCAAACGCAAACACAAAAGATTCTACCGTGCGACGTCGTTTTCTCCGCTCGGCGCATCTCGTCGCTTCTTCGTTTCGAAACTCGCGAATGGTTTACATTAGTCTTTCACGTATTCATAAAACGTGGATGAAAAATAGATAAGGGATTATATATCACTTGTACATTCAACGTGTGACGTGCGATTTTATATGTCTATATTTAGCGTAGAAATAAAAATATACGCTAATTATCTTGGTATGTTTCGGTATTTTTCATATTAAGATAAGTTTGAATCGATGCTCTTGATAAGAAAAAGAAAATGAATATTACTATTTAGTTTAATTTTAAATTATTAAGAAAAAATTAAAACTTTGTAAATCAGGCAAAGAATAAAAAAAAATTTTTATGCAATTTGGAGCATTAAGAAATTTTGTTCCGCATCATATATTTTTTAGATAATTTTATTTTTCTTAATTGGAGAGCATGCTTTATCGTTGTAGATTGACTTGATATCGCGGCGGTGCGGGGATAAAACGGAAGAGGGAAATGGGGGGAATGCGCTGAAATAAATCCTCGAATAATTCCCTTCGGCGCTGTAGGACTGTACTTTGCGGATCGTGTTTACCCGTGGATTCATTGGACGCAGGCACGCGAGCGCATAAACATGTCGCAGGCTCATTATTTATCGAATTGTCTTAAGCTTCTGCAGTATTATGCGAAAATCCACGCGACTCAGCAGTCACGCCCGGGGGCTAAAAAGGCACATGACTTTACGAAAATATTCGCGATCGTAAATCTGTCACGTTCTGTCTAGTTGAAAAAAGGACAATCACCCCCGCAGTATACGTCTCTCCGATAACAATTCAAAAGATTTTAGGGAACATGTGTTTTGCATTTTCTTCCCTTCGTTTTTTTGCGATTTACCTTGCATGAATTAATTATCAATATATTGTCATAAAAAAAAATAATATTCCTTTAATTTAAATGTAATATTTTAATAATTCGATTTTTTCTTTGGAGCTATATAAATTTTCATGTCATATATATATTTAATCAATTTTATTAGTTTAATTTGTTTTCAGAAATTATGAATTATAAGTTTATCGCAGCTGACGTTAATAAAATATTAATAATACAAATATTGCAAGTTGCGATAAAGATTTCGAGTTAACACGAGAATTAGCGATTTCGCGCATTGTTCCCGATTTTATGCTTGAAACCTGGATTTGGCTTTAAATTGGATCCTTAGAGACAAGCAGTCTCATGCCAGAGCGAAAATTTAAGCCGGTAATTTATCCCAACCACCTACGCAGTTGTCTTATGCGCGTGCCACTGGCCGAGAGGTAGTAGAACCGTCCGGAAGGAATGACTCTTGGAAAAAAAGAGTAAATGATCCTTTGAGAAAAAAAGGGGATAGTTTTAAAACCTTTAAAACGAATAAAAGAACAAAGAGGTGTTTTTACCTGTTATTGTGGTAAATTTAACAAAAAGGGAATTCAATAGTTGTGAAAATACAACAATATATGAATGGTATTATACACAAATATACATAAATATTGACAACAAGATTATGGTTTTCATAATGACAATAGTCAAACACTTTCCATTTAAAAAGGATTGAGTTTTATTTTTTGATGGCTACTTTAACGCAGTAAAATTTTGTGTCTTTCTTCTCCAAATTAGTATTCTGAAAGGGTGAAGGTTATTTTTTTTTGTATGTTTCCTATTCAAGATTATCTAAATGATGCAGGAATTTCAATTTCCGAGTTTGAATAGAAATGTGCAGAGAGAAGGTCACGAAGGAGATATAAATGGGAAGTAGAATAGTCTCCGCGTCCGATAAATCGGAGATTACCGATCGCTTTTCGCGGCGAGATCGCGTGGGCGTCGAGGGATAAATTCCGACCTTAATCGCGACATCACCATTGCCGGAATTAATAATTTCTCGAAAGATATCTGTAAACTCTCGCCTACACTCTCTCGCGGGCACGAATTACATGACGACGATAAATTACAGGGTGAATACGGACGCGTAATATATAATGTGTCATAAATATTCGAATACTATCTTGTTTTCATGTTAAAAATATATTATAATAGCAGCAAGAGAGAATTGTGATAATAAAAATGAGTTATGAAAGCAGTCCGAACAGAAACTTATCAAGAAAATCAAAGAAAAATATGTGTACTTTTGAACTTAAATATAAAACTTTTGTAAAACTCTTCATGTGTGGTGTGTGTGTGGTGTGTGTACATATTATTTAGAAGCAATAACAATCTCAAGTCGGAGTAGTAATCGTAGAGGGAAATAATTTTAATTGCAGGAATATGATTTAATTTGTAATTAAACGTAGTAATTGAAGCGAATGTAATACAGTTATATAATTTGAGAGATAAATCAACGATGACGGTAACGATTAATTAATATCACAGCAGGCACCACGGTGAACTATTTTAAATAATTACAATATAGTAATACGATCCAACTACCGATTGATCGAACAATCGGCGCTTGGAAAAACGAATGCGGCGATATTCGTAAAATATCTTGTTTACACTCGTTACTTTTAACAATGCAATTATTCATACACTTTCGGTAACAAATAAATAAGTGGATGATACGGTGCTTTGTTTATACACGAAAAATGTACACGTATTACTGCAGTGTAATGCAGACAACGCGTCCGCGCGCTGTCACCTTTGTTGCAGCGCGTATCAAAGAAAGATTGCAATAATTAAATTACAAATCGCGCCGCGTTCATCGCGCATAATGCATTCGCGTTTCCGTCGCGCGTTAATTAAACAAATTGGTAGCGTACCGCGCATTTTCCGTGTTCTTCTACGCGCTTTTGCATGCAAAACTCGGTTCCATTACGCTCGCTCAATTGTCACAATAAACTAACCAGACGTGACGTGACGTCAGTCTGCGTAGTCGCAAGTGTTCGGCACGAGTGTTTACGCAACTGCGAGGTGCAATATTTGCAACAACATTTCCACGCGCCACTTGGCTGCATTGCGGTGCAACGAGGTGATTCCCGTCAAAGCCGTCGGATAGATCGATTTTTTTTTATAATTTAAAAGCGGTCAATGTTTTCCCAACAAGACGAGAGCGCGACATGAAATTGATAATATTATTAGTGATGGTACGCGAAAATTATATTGCAGTAATGTTAATCGATTAAAAAAAAAGGATTTATCTTTTGACGCGTGATAATGTTATAAAATATGCAAAAAATTAATTAAAATAATTACCGGCTCGGAGAGCGTCCATGGGAACACTTGGGTACGGAATACTGTAGGGGTAGCCTTCTTTCCGCAGGGTCTTGGGTTTCCTTCGCGGTCTGTACTTGTAGTCTGGGTGTTCCTTCATGTGTTGGGCTCGTAACCTCTTGGCTTGGTCGATGAACGGGCGTTTTTCGTCTTCCGTAAGAAGTTTCCATTCCGCGCCTGCAATAAATTTCAGGTTACGATTAATAATAAGAGCGTGAGTACGTCAAATGAGTAGATTAATTGTAAATATAATTCTAAAGTCGCACATTCGAATATTAATCAATTTGATTCATTAATTCGTTTCACGTATTACAGTGTCTTTTCTTGCAATTATCTAGTAATAGTGTTTAACGCTATTCGAAAGTATAAATATTTGACAACTGTCACTTCATTCCCGCAAATTGATTTGTAAATATTCATAAGAACGTAAAACCATTTGTGACGAACAGCACTGATTAGTACTTTGAAGCCGAAAATTAGTACTTTGTATTTGTTTTTGTATTATTTGCGATCAACCGATGAAAAATTAAGTCGTTTTTAAAAAAAGAAGAGGATGTAAAAATTGACAAAATAAACGTTTCACATGATGAAATATATAATAATCCAAATTTTTAATTTAAAATTATACGATTAATTGTCACACGCGTTGTGGCTTTTCGATTCGCATTTAAACGCTCTCGGAGGGATTCTGTGGAGGGACTCATTGGACGGGAATCGTTTTTAACCCCTTCGTCACTCCTCTACCCCTATCCAGCCAGCGAGCTGATTGTTTTGCGCAGAATTAATTACCACTTGTTGTCGGCGGCCGCCGAGGCGCGCACAAAGCGCGAAGCCCCGGTATTCTGGAAACGGAACCTGCTGGTAGCGAGGTGCGCGACGCACCGACCCCCCGACGCCGAGGGGCACAATGCGCCCCGGAGTTTGCACCGCGACGCCGCCAACAATGGCCGCCGCAGCGAGACGTCGACGTCGCGACGTCGCGAAGCTCGCGTTTACCGGAGATTGATTTCGCCGAGATTTCAGTGTAGCGAGGATGTGTCGCAAAAAGATCCCGAAAGACAAAGATTGAATACGAAACGATCCGTCTTTCACGACGTATCTAATCTTTCAATTTTAAAGTTAAGAATCTAAATTTAAGATTGAATTTCATTCATAGACACTACGAGAAAGAAGGAAGTAAATTACGTAACACACCTGCAGATATTAATTATTGATTACTGGAGATTGATTCGGTTGAGATTTCAAGGATGTCGCAAAAAGATCTCGAAAGAAAAAAATTGAAAATTAAATGATTTGCCTTTTATGACAACTAATCTCTCAATTTTTAAGTTAAGAATCTAAACTTTTGATTGAATTTTGCTCGAGAAGGAAGAAAATAAATTATGTAACACGCCTACAGATATTAATGATTACTGAAGATTTATTTGGATTTATTTGAGATTTTAATGTACAGAAAATGTATCACGAAAGGAACTCGAAAGTTAAAGATTGAATACGGAATGATTCGCTTTTCATGATATGTCTAATCTTTCAATTTTAAAGTTAGGAATCTAAATTTTTGACTGAATTTTGCTCAAGAAAGAAGGAAATAAAATTATGTAATATACTTACAGGTATTAATTATTGATTACTGAAGATTTATTTGAATTTATTTGGATTAAAATAAAAAATTAAAATAAAGTAAAAGGCACAATAGAAATCAAAGACGAAATATTAAATATTCTTTGAATTAGTTAGATGGAAATAGGCACATATTCCGTACTAATACTTACGACACGGTAGCCTTTTGTTTTATTTTAATTTTTGATTTATAATCATAGAGACCGTTAATTTTTCCTTTGTTGTTTCTTATTTGGATTTATTTGAGATTTCAATGTACCGAGAATGTATCACAAAAAGAACTCGACAGATAAAGATTGAATATGGAATGATTCGTCTTTCATGATATATCTAATCTTTCAATTTTAAAATTAGGAATCTAAATTTTTGATTGCATGTTTCTCAAGAAAGAAGGAAGATAAATTATGACACACCTGTAGGTATAATTATTTCAGAACAGGAATTTTATATGACATTTTCTTTTGTTGTTAAACGCCAGATGGCTCAATTTGATGTTTTAAATTGAGATTTGCTTGGTATAAGCCGGTCGCAAAGTCGTCAAAAGTAACTTTTTTCATGCTCTTCACACGAGAGCTTTAATAGCTCCCGAGTTTTTCTTTTCCTTTTATGCGGCTTGACCAGGATTACCGGACGCAGCCGGGAGCGAAAAAATCGTCGGGAGGAGGAAAGGGAGAAAGCAACACAAGTAATATTCCGAACGGTTGATAGGATACGAAGTTCCATTTAAGGGAGAAAAGTTTTCAAAGAAAAAAACAGATAAATACAATTGAATGAAATTTTTTAAAAATAATTGAATAATTTAAATTTGTAAATACATATAGTTTTAAAAATTATTGGATAATCTACATTATTTTCTTGTCAGAGAATTATCTTGCAATTGAAAAAAAAGAATAGTAGACAGAAGAGCAGAGGATCCCGCGATAAAGCTGATAAGAACGTCAGAAGCTGGGAATTCACGGTGAATCCTACAGATCCCTTGTTTTTCCCGTTGTTGTTGCCTGTTACCAACAGCAACAACAGCATTGTTGGACAATACGGATACGTGGTGGCGCACAATAAACCCCAAAGAAAAGGTATCGGCAAGCGCTGAATGAGTTCGAGAATCGTATCTCTCGAGACAATAGCAAGCTGATAACGCGAAATTGTTCTCGATAAATAAAAATCTCGCGACTTAATTAATTCTTGAAATATATACCGCAGATTACGGGATTCAGCATTTTCTTATTTTAATTAAATTCTGTAAGGCAGCTCCAAATATGCTCCAAGTAAATGCAAGAGTAACTTATTCTGTATAATTTTTTTTCATTCTTAAGAAATATTTTTATCTATTTATCTCTCTCTATTTATTTCCAAGATAAGCCTTTGGGGGTAAGATAAGAAAGTAAAGTTGCTTTTCGTGCTTCGCATAAAAATATTCCCAAGCGTTTCCGTCGTTTGAGAAATAGTGGTTTAAATTGACGACTCATGAACCGCGTGAATTTGCCTTCGGAATCAAAAAGCCGAGGCGACTTCCGGTCGCGCAAAAGGGGTAGCCCTGTGTGCTCACCATTTATATTACGGCTTATCCAATCGATACACGTTTTCCCGTCTGAAAGGCAGGTGGCACGATCGAACAAGAGAGGGAAATAGCAAGAAGAGGGTGACGGGGGTGGCGGCGGGTTTCGACGTATTTGTTTAGAACAAAGGCTTCCAGGTACTGATGGTATTAGTAAGTTGGCGTTCGCGGGCAATACTCCTTCGTTTTCTCTTTCCTTCTTTCTGGGGTTGACGATGACGGTGGCGACGACGACGACGACAACGACGAGGACGATGAGGAGCGAGCTTAAAGCACAATGGCACCCGCTTTTCAGTCCTTTCGTCGGCGGACAATACCGTTTATTTAACATCGTTTAAAAGTACAAAGCCTGTTAATTAATGGACGAGGATGGCGAAGAGGAGGACAGAGGGGAGGACCGGGAAAGAAGGAAGACGAAAGAGAGCAGAGGATGGCGTGGCCGTGACGTCGTCCTCGTTTCTGTGACACGACCAATGCCGCTAAAGGAGGCCGTTAAAGAATACGTCAATTGCCTCGTCGATTAATCCGGAGCGGTTTATTACTTTTTTCGTAGATTCGCGCAAAGAAATAGATTCCGGTAATTTAATCTATTATAACTTTTCATGCATGAACATTGAATTTTTCGAAAGAGAAAGAGTGTGCGTTATCGTTCGAAGCGTGACAGTTGAAGATGGTGAGACGAAGGGGTGGCGGTGCAGCTACTGCACCGCCGATCGATCGGCCACCCCCTCCAACCCTTCCCGGACTTGTCCCCGACGATGAAACGTGGAAATTGGAAAACGTTTCCTGCATTTCCTGTTGGCGCGGGGGGACTTTGCGACTTGAGGCTTCGAAATCGAACTTGCGTTCTCGGGATTACGTGAGAAAATATGTTTAGTGTTAAAAATATATCGCCTAACAAATGAAACTTGTTACAATAGATGAATAAAGTTTCCAGTCTGCTAATTAGTAACATTGTCTGTGTTAAAAAGACATTTGTTTGAAAGAAACATGTACAGAACAAAAAATTAAGTATGATAATGATATTCATATATTTGAAGATATTAACGCAACGAAATAAAATTTAATTCCTTTTAAAGCAATATTTGCAATGATTATAAATTGAATTAAATACTTTTTGTGAACAGAATTAGGCTTGTGTTCTTTTATATCGAAATAGTGTCATTATTTTATGTAGATAAATATGATCGATATTGCAAAACAATACACACTATCCTGTAATATTGAATGTTTTTGAATTTTCAATTGTTCTCACATTTTCTTTGCCCAATTCTTATGTGTTTTATATTTATTGAAATATCCTTAAATATCTAAATAATGTTTGGCACAGTAATTCTTGTTCACATCGCAAAGAAGCATGGGATAAATCATCGAGTGTTACATTCTCGATAATAGCGCGAAATTTCATTAAATACATTCATTTACCGATGTATGGTATAATTACGTCGTTAAATAAAGCGACATGACTAAAAAGGAAATCCTTCTATCTTGAGTCCTCTTCGCGTGCCACGCTGCTAATAGCCTTTACCTTTTCTTACAGCACGAAACAATGACGCTGTTATTCTCGTTACTGGCGTCGCATCGTGCCAATTAAGAAGATGCCTTCAAGGCATACACATTACGCGCTACAGATGATTCATTTTTTTCGTAACATAATGCAATTTTGTTTTATTTTTATAATAAACATGATCTCGCATACAGCGAGATCTCTTTTATAATTTTGTTAACAATTATCTTGCAAAATATTCGCGTCATATTATTTTATACAAAGTTTTCCGCGTCCCATGTGATATTTTATCTCTTCATTACATGGAATATGATGATAAAGCGTCTTTTGTTATTTTACTGATATTGTTTTATAATAAGATTATTTTAATATTACATCATTTATAAATCTCAACGATAGGTGTTGTGATGGACTTAATGTCTGTTTAAAAAAAAAATCTGATTGAGAAGAATCTATTTAAATATTTAATTAAAATTCTAAAAAAAAGATATATCTGAAATTTTCTAATTTTGATTTATTATTCGATTATATTTGGGAAGCTTAGATCGTGAAAAGTTCTTCGTACTTGATTTCTTGCAATTCAAAGATTATTAGTGTTTCGAAATTTGAAGTAAACAAAACTCCGGGAAGACTTTACTCCTTTATGCATCTCCTTAATCTTTCCCAATCCTTTCCGCGCAAAGTTTGTCGCGGAATTCGCTCGAGGAAACTGATTTTACTCATAAGTCTCGAAGTGGAGCAGAGAATCCCGGCCTTTGTGACACAAAGAGCGACCGGTGGGCGGCTCAAAGTAGTGACGGGCGCTTTTAAGGGAACGGGAAGCTTTAAGTCCGGGGACGATCATTTTTAATCATGACCGTGAGAAGGGAGAGAGAAAATGCGAAGATGCGCGTACGTGTACCTGAACGCGTTATATATATATCGCCTTTGTCGCAACGAGCGTCATTGTCCTCGCGATTCTATAGGTGAGCGTGCAGCGTCGGAAGATTCTTCGCGAATTATTTCCCCTCGCGGATTCCGCGAGCCAACGATTACGTCTACTTTTGTGAAGGATCTGCGAAAGTTAGCGGTAATATCTTTTCTCCCGATATTAGTATTTGACAGATCTTTGCATCTAAAGCCGCTGTTTCTTGAAAAGCCGTCGGGAAGTCGCGCTTGAATGTCATTATCGTTCCGAGAAACTTTGCATAAATTTTTTAAAAATATGATACAGCCGACATACATGATGCTTATCTTTTTCATTACATTCATTGATGTTAAATAAAATTACAATATTGTACGAGAAATAATATAAGTTGTATAGAATATGCAAATAGAGATTTAGATCTTTTTCTATAATATTAACACAAAGGCGATGAAGGTTAACCTTATTTCATTATTTTTTTTTACTTTAAAATGTAGAAGCTAATTTCAACGCTTTTTGTTCGATTATTTGACAGAGAATCGCGAGATGTTACTATTCGAGATTGGTGCCACGGATAGTTTCGCGAACCAATGCTGGTTGTTTAAGAAGTTAAATTAGATTGTCTTTTAGAGCCATAAGACGGGCATCCTATTTCCGAGAGGATTGCAAAACCGAGACAAGTCGTTCTTTTAACACGCTCCAAAGAAGTTGATGTCTTTCCTCTTCAAGGCTTTGGCAAGCGGCAGAAATACTTCATTACGATGAAAGCTTCTCCCGAGTCTCCTCTCCTCCAAATCCTGGGCTCTCCCTGCCGTTTCTCTCTCATGTGTTTATACACCCTCTATTCTTCTCTCGTCTCGTTCTCTTTGTTAACTTCTCTCTCGAGGGTGTTTGCATCGCGTGCGTGTGTTTTTACGACGCAACATTGTGTTAGAGGTGGCTTTAAGAGAGGAAACAGACTTATGAAATGGAATCTCATTGCGATCCTTGTGGCAAGACTATCAAAAAAAAAATAGTAAAAAAATCAGTAGAATTGTGAGATCGAATATGATTATTTCTATAAAGATTTCAAGATTAATCATTCTTTTATAATCTCAGTCATCAACAGCTTCAATATTATAGTTTTTGATGATTGCTTAGAGTCTATCAGAAAATAATATATTATTAATAGTACATTATTAATAGTACATTATTCAAATTTCTCGTTGAAAATTTTATGAATCTCGTACTTTTATTTTTCTATCTTGATCTTTCTATCTCGATCAAAATTGCCATCATCCTCGAAACGCTTAAGCCATTCGTTCGAGTGGAATCTCGAAGACGAAAGGGAAAGGGGCAAGGTTTGGACGAGCAACTTGCACAACAGGAACGTTACAGCGAGGTCCAATAACTAGATTAGCTCTAAGCGTCTCCCGACAGAGCACTCACTTTAAAGAACCCCCTTCTCATCGTCTCTTGCGTCACGATTATTCCCTTCAGGATCCCTTAAACGTCCTCCGAACGTCGTGAAACGTGGTAAATTGTCGGCTCCGAAGATAAACGCGCGAATCGCCATCTACTAATTGATGTAATAAAACCAGAGGATGCTTTATCACACTTTTCAATCGGAATTATTTTAGCTTGCATCCCGATATTAAGTGTTTATCTCGAGGAAAAAAGCTTCTTTCTCTTACTTGTTTTAAAATTGTTATGTTTGAGCGAAACAATAATATTAATACCAAATTTTAAATTTCAATTCCAATTTAAAATTAAAGTTCAAGAATCAAAGTTTAAAGAGAATCACAGAATTAAAATTCCAAAACTTCAAAAATTTATAGTCTCAATAATCTGGAAGTTACAGAAAACTCTAAAGATTTGACATTCAAAGAACTTCCAAGAGATAATTATTTTTGAAATAAAGTCCAATATACTCGACAAATTAAAAATGTTATAAATCTTTGAAGAAGCTCAAATATTCTTGTTACATTATGTCAAAATCTTTCCCTCGCTATCTTTTTAGAATTCCTATGTGGCTAGTCCAAGCACTCACGTAACCAATCGAGAAATAAGATGACATTCTTCCGGATACCTTTGTGATCGGGAAAAAAGTGAAACGTGACATTCCACGCGCCCACCCGCTAAATTCCGATCACCGTATTGAGAGAGTATGGAATTTTGTATCGCCTTATATACGTAGGAGTTTCGCGGTAAAGAGGAAAGGGACAAAATCCGCGAGTGTTGCAACGTAGTGTATCATCCAAAAATATGCTCGGCGACGAAAGAGCGACGGAAAAGTGTCGCGCCGACAAAAGAGGAAACGCGGAGGAAGAAGCATAGGAAAATAAAGATGGGCTGGGGAGGGTAGGAAGATGGAAAATAGAAAGGGGGTGGTACATCGAAGGTTCGAGCGTGCGCATCATTTTTACCGAGAAGGAGGTGGCGGAGGAAGAGGAGAAAGAGGAGGAGACGCTTCCCTTATTCGTCGTCGCCGGGGAAACGAAAAATAGGGGATGGAGGGTGCGAGGCGAGGAGAAAATGACAGATAAAGGAGCTCGAGGGAGTTGCGGAAGATCCTTTGTTGATCTCGACTGTGAGGTATTTAACAGAAATACTAGACGGAATATATATATATATATCTCTCTCCTTCGCTAAATCACGCGACATATGCGCGAAGTCGTTCATAAAAAGAAATTAACGAAAGAGAATATGCACAAAAAAATGACACTTCGGATTATTCGACGAATTATTCATCGTGAGAGGCGACGTTGCAAAATCGCGAATAAAATGTATCCAGTAGATATTTTCGTAACACGATGGATATGCATGTTACATTTTATCTTGAAAAACTATATCCTTAAAAGATGGTCTTTTAATAAATTTAAAATTATTTAAAATTTATCGACGATGAATATCATAAGAATATTAAGATTTAAAATCCTTGGAAATAAAAAATTTTTAGTTTCTCAAAGTCTTTTAAAATATTGCAGCATTTAAAAGTGTCTACAAGCTGCAACTTTACAAGTTTTATTAATCCGAAAATTTGATATTTTATAATCTTTTAGAACCTAAGAAAATGTGGAGAAATCTCGAAATATTTAATTTATATTACTGATAAGCATTCGTAAAAATAGAACGTATTATCCTGAAAATCTGGCACTCACCTAGCCGTTTGGAGATTTCGCTGTTGTGCATTTTGGGATTTTCTTGAGCAATCTTCCGTCGCTGTAGCCGTGACCAGACCATGAAGGCATTCATGGGCCGTTTAATGTGTTCCACTTGCACTTTCTTGCCACCCGGGCCGAGCGGGCTGTTGAGGCCGACCCCCATGGGACCGACACCAACACCGGCACCACCCGGTGGCGATGCTCCCGTCATGCCCTGCATACTACGCAGGGTTTCCGTGAAGGAGCCGTCGCACATGTTGCCGCCGGCTCTGTAATTAAAGACAGCTACCAATTAGTGACCTCTGTTAGTCCAGTCAACCCGGGGATCATACATTAATCCCGTGAGACTTAAGAATTGATTAAAAGCGAAAGAATAACGGAAACTGTCACTAAATGATTTTTATTTTAAAACACTTTTATCAAGAATAATCGCCAGTTAAAATTTTATTCAGAAGGCAAGAAATTAATTGTGCTTATCAAATAATTTACTTTTAATTACATTTATTTATATATTATTTCTCTCCTAATGTTTATGACGAACATTTATTTCTGAAATTTTTTAAACACATTTCTAATTTTGTGTCTCTTTAATTGTCTTGTGGATAAAAAATTATGATCTAGCAGTAGGATAATACAAAAACAGTAAATAAATTCTCGATGATTTCCCTCTTTTTCTCAAAAATTCTGATACTTTAATAAAACTAACAAAATATATATTTTTACATATACACACATATACACAATTAATTATCATATCAGCAAACAACACACGTACACACATATCACTTTCTCATTTTTTATTTTCTGTGCACAATTATGAGAACAAGCAATTCTCGATCGATAGACCGCAACTGTATCATCGTAAAGGCTTCGTGGGGGGTCGAGCGAAACGAGCGTGGGCCCTTTCCTTGCAGCATCGGCGGTATATAATTGCTTATTCGTTTGCTCCGCAATTCATAAGCAAATTAATCTTATCCTTTTCTTCGTATCAAAGCCATTAACCAATCTCGGCACGTTCCGTGCGTTTTCTCGTTCTTCATTCTCTGCTCTAAACGTCATCCCTGCGGCAAAGGGTGGGCCAAACGACTCATTTCCCTCTCTTTTCCTCTCTCTCTCTCTCTCTCTCTCTCTCTCTCTCTCTCTGTTTATCTCTCTTCTTTTTACTCCGACAATTTTAGCTTCTCGAACTAATACAATTATCGTGTTGAATCTCCTTGAGTGTTCGTTAAAAAAAACTTGTAGTAGTCAGGGGAGGGTCTAAAGAGAGAGGGGGAGCGGTAGTTACGATTTTGTAAAGCTAAGATCACCCCCCGTGTGGAGGAGGAGGGGAACAACGAGAGAGCGAATGCCACCCTCGAGTGTCATTCAGGACGGATTAATAGATACGTCGGTTAGACGAAGTTGCAAGGGTGGAACAACCACCCCGTCATCATCGTGGTGTTTGGGGTGCTTTCTGAGTACTCCTCCCTTTTTATTTCTCTCTCTCTTTCGTTCTTTCTCTGTCCCTCTTGGGGATAGCTCACTGAGACCGAGAAGATGCTGGAAATAATGGCTGTTGACAACCCAAGCGACGAGGGATTAGGAAGTGCTAATTGAATGTTTAGGTACGGGTCACTGATAGAGAACCGGGATACAGCAAGCCGCAATTTATTGCTTATTTTGACAACAGAACGTTTATTTGGGGAAAAACATTGCATGTAATATATAAGCGATTGAAAGTTTGTTTCACATATGAAGAACAGTATTAAATTTGACGCATAATTGCGTAGGCCTATTCCGTGTTCACGTTTAAAAATATTCGAATAAATTTAGCACAATTATAAATTATTAGAGTTAGGTATTTTATATTTCGAGAATTACAACTTTACCATAAGTATAATTTTACAATCTTTAGGAAAATATTATTTGTCAAAATTATTGTCTAATTCATTAATTACATGATATAATTGAAGCAAATAATATTTTTTAAGCTTGAATTAATCCTTTAATTTAAACAGATAGTATTCATTTTACAGCAAAGTTTCTTGAATGCTGTATATTACACGCGATTGTTTTGTATTTTTGAATCTATTTTTAGATAAATGGAAGATTTAATTAAAGGAAATTGATTAATAAAAATTAATTTTATCTCGTTAACACGAAACAACTATATAATGTTCAATTCTAAGAGATAAACTGAAATCTAAGAAATCAGACTTTGATTATTTGCACAATTTTGTTATTAATGTTGAAACATATATAGGTATATATATAATATATATAATATATAGATATATATAAATATAGATATATATAAATATATAATGGTGAAATTTGGAAATATTCTGTATAAAATTTTTAATATAATATTTCATAATATTAATATTAAATATAGACTTGTTTTATCTTTAAAAATACTCTTTAAAAATAAATCAATTATAGATTATTTTCATTTTTTTATTAATCAAGTTTAAGATGTTAAATATTTAAAATAATATGTAATTAATATAATTTTATGACAGATAACTATATTAATTAATAATAAAAGTTAACAAAATTAAGACGATTAAAACAGCTGTTTGTCATTTTATTAAAATAGATACGCCAAGTCTAATAATTTCTAATAAATTTTTTGTTATTTGGAATAGTTTACGGATTTTCTCTTCCTTTGAAAAAAGGAATATATAATTTCTATTAAAAGATATGCAATGATTCAAATCATTATTATTACAATGTTTATAATGTATTATTATGTTTAAATGATTATCGTATTTCTTTAAGAGTTTTGTATAGTAGTTTCATTAAGCATTGAGGAATATTATTTCTAAAGTTATATATTAATTTTTATTGTGTTAAAATCACTGATGTCTTTTTTTGATGATCAAAAATATATGACAGTTTCCACTATTCAATTCACAAGTTTAAACTTTTATCACTTATGTGCGCGTGTGTATTTGTATAATTGCACAACACAAATTATATTATATTTTTTAAAAAGATAAAATTTTGTGTTTAAGAAATAATGATAAATTCATTCTCGGATCTCTAGGGAGATGTTTTATTCATTGCTAATAAAATTTGGGCATTATCTTGAGAAAAATGTTCTCCCTCATAATTTGACACATAAAACTTTCTTGAAAACATACAGTTTTACAACTGACACTACAATAGTGTTGATTCTATCTGAGATGTCCGATTCGTCAAAAGAAATTTTGATGTTGGCGATAAGGTTTTAGGTAATCTTTGTGAAAGATCCGAAAACATTTTAATCTTCAAACTTCTCTCCGATCCTAATCGTGTCCTTCCGTGGTCATTTTTCTTGTAAACTCACCTCATAAAGTGGCCGGCGGCCCGTTGGTGCAAATCCAGCTCAATTTTGCTGCCGTGATTGAGACTTTCGTCTCAAAGCTTAACAACTTAATCACAAGGAGAACGCGACAATATTTGAGGGAAAGGGTCACTGCACTGCTTTAATTATGTTATGCACATAATCAGATCAGGGTCCTCGATTCACTGTCATGTCACACTGGCTCCCAGTTCTTCCGTCAGTTCTCTTGTACATCGCGATCGACACGATACTGATGCTCAACTTTATCTCATTGATGTTGAGACTCGCGACGCGTTTTTGTTGCCGATTCTGAACCTAATCTGCCTCGCCACGGTAAGAGACGGAGACGGCACTGGCTCAGACTTATCTCGCGGATGTCAGTTTTGGAATGCCATCGGTCCGAGGATCGGATCTGAGTCAGCAGCGCTCGCGAGACCCCCTCTTGTACGCACGTTCTCGTGACCATGGTAACCAACTGGTATAAGCCAATGGTACATTCTGGAGGGCGGGCGAACAGCGTGGTGGAAGCATTTCGGTATTCTGATTGGCCTAAGTGTAAAATTGTCAATAAAGGCCAGTAAGGTCGGTTACATGGATCGGTCTGTTCCTCGGCTTGTTTCTCTTTGGCTACGTCCGCCGACCTTTCTCGATGGGCCTGCGTCGTGATCATGAGGAGCACGATCACGAGGAGGCTTCTTGGATGCGAAAACAATCCTTCGCCAAGCAATAATTATGCTTCAAGTGTTTGGAAATAATTTTCTCGTTTTAACGTCTTCAAGATTTGCCTAGTGAGAAGTGTCAAAAAGTTAAAGATGATAAAGAAAAACGTAGGAAATTGCATATACATGAAATGTCATAGCTATTTCCTATTGATAGCATTGTTAAAACTCGTCATGATAATTGATAATTTTTCACTTTTGAAATTATTTTTATCCTGACATTTATTTTTTATATATGACGTTCAACTTATCTTGCTCGTATTCTCTATTAATTTACAAAAAAGATTCCTTTGCATTCGAGTTCCATTCTGAATTTAAATCTAGATCAAATCGAGAGTAGGAGTCGATAAGATGAAAAGAGAGACGGAAGATGAAAAAAAGAGAAAGAGAGAAGAGTTCTGTAACTGTTCTGCTGCTACCACCCCCACTTTCACAGACGAACCCAGCCCATGAAGAGTGGGAGACAGGCAGGATCATGAAGAAGGTTGGACGAAGGCGGAATGGTGGGTGCTAGTATCAAGACTTGAATTCGAGAGAACGCTGGCTAAGAATGGAAATAAGAAAGCGACTTCCCCCCTTCGATACGAACCGCTCTACCATGCTTTCCTTCCCCGTATATTTCCCCTACCTTTATTCTATATTCTCTCGCTCTCTCCTTCGTCAATTCTATATTCGCATTTATTCTGGTAGGACATTGTGTTCGTTTCACAACGTAACAAAATGGTAGCTCTCGCCGTTTTGCTCTTTTTTTTTTGCGGGACTCCGCGGAGGGAATTTTCGCGCGACGGGGGTACATTGAGGCAGGGTGCTTTCTTCGTAGCGAGTTAACCCTTTGCGAGCTCTCCGACTCGGCAATGGCGTCGTACTTCGACTGTGATAATAATTGAAGTGGAAAAGGTTGAAAGCTAAACCGGAATGGGTCACGGGTGCTTCCTTCTGATAGCTTAACTGCGATAGTTTATACTTCGTACAATGAAGGTGACCATATGTCGGAAGACATCGAGAAATTGTTTGGCAAATAAGTTCCCGTGATAAACTTAATTAGTTGCGATATAGTATTATTTTGAAACAAGTAGTCAATTAATTAAATTATTTAATTTAAAGAAGAGAAAAATAATATTTTCTTAAAATCTCTCTCTCTCTTTCAATCTGTATTTAAAATTTAAAATTCTAAGAATTAATCAAATTTTAAACATCCAAAATTCGCGCTTCTCTAAAAGTTGTAAAGATTAATTTTTGAGAGAATCAAGAAATTTCAAAGTATGTATATTCTAAATAGAGGTATTACTTTTAAATATCTAGATAGTCAAAAGATGTGAAGTTTATAATATATATACTTTCAGTAAGAAGTATATTATCTAAATTTTATTCTATTCAAAATTATATCACATTTTAAATATTATATTAAATCCATTTTTATTTTGTGTTATAATTGAGTCGATTTTGCGATTTGATATTTTTTTACGGATATAAAGAGCGCAATTCCGAATTGATCGTCCTGCGAAATGGCAGGAAAGGATAATAACAGCATTGCAAAGTGACGTCGATTGCGAGCATATTTATGGAGCTATATTTTCTATGTGGACACTCGATTCCATCCTTTATGGCCCATTGATCGTCTCTTGTTTATTCCCAAGTGCCAATAAGGGTACTTGGTTGAAGGGGATGATCGAGTTTGGATATCGCCTCGTCACTAATGTGGTCGATTTGCCAACCCTATACTTTCCTTCTATCGTCGTTCGTAAAGTAACTACATTGATTGATAACATTAATAATTTATTTCTATAATTTGGGCTATCTGGCGGTTTGCAAAGATTGAGTTAATTCGTAAAATAATCACAACTTAATATATAATGTTTTGGCTTGGAACAATATTTATAATTGAAAAAATAATGGTTCAAATTATCGGAATAATTTTTAGATTCTCGGATTTACATTATTTTCAAAATGACCAATTTAATTTGCGAGAAATCATTAGCTTTTTAATGCCAGATTGCTTATCCTTCGCACTCAAACTGATTAAGAAAATGATGCTCGGCGACCGGGAAGACACGAAGGGCGCGAAGTGTTTATCCCGAAGAAGATTTATTCCCTCGGCGCGACCAGGACGCGACACGCACGTGCTAGGATCGTCGCACGCGTCGCCGAACATGCAGCGTATGAATATCTAATGCACCCCGTCCACAATTAAATTCGGACAATATGTTTTGTTTCGGGAGGGGCCGAGAGAGACGCGCCACCCTCGAGGTCGCTCGAGGGGTTCCTGATCGCTCAGTCCGGGGGCAGAGGGTCCTTCACCCCTCGGATTCTTCGCTGAATAACGCCCCGAGTGTAAATCTCGGCTGCGCGAGAGAAAGATATGCCGCGTCGTGTGACAGGCGATAATTTCTCCCGATTAGAGTGATGCCTGCGGTTCTGCGACAGCAAGTCCCTATTCAATATTACTTACCGGACTGAAGATATTAACGCGCAATGAAATATTTGCCGAGAAGCTATAAAAAAGAAATAAATTCTTGAAAAAATTGAACAAAACTAATTCTCTTTCTATAGTTTTTTCTGTCCACATAATTTTTCATTCGAGTTTTATTATCTGAATTTTCTTATACGTAGTTATGTTGGCGACTCTATCATATATAATTTATTATAATAATTTTATAATATTTAAAAATCTATAATCGCCCACAGAGAAGTTATAACCTTGATTGGATTGTTCGTTTAGCGATTTACTTGCTGGCAGCGAAAATTCTATTAAGAAACGGATTAACTCAAAATTAAGTCTATTAATTTTATTAATTCTATTAAATTTATTTGATCGAGACACTAACGCATTTGTCTGATCACATGTAAATTTAGATTAAAAATATATATATATGTTTTTGGTCTTCTATCAGCTCTTGTATTGGACTTGCGAATGGTTATTCTTGTTATCGTTGTTTATGATGAGCTAATTATGGATGAATTGTTTACGATTAATTAATTTCGCAATTTATAAAATTCGTAGTAAAAATATATTTGCATTTTTGATTTGTCGTATCTTGATATTTTACTTTTTAATTTCGATAACTGAAAAATTTGGATTTAAACGTTTCGAACTCTCGAGTTAACTAATTTGCATCTCGAATAAATTAATCGTCAGTTTTGAATAAATTAGTTTTTTTAATTTTCGGAAAACAAATTTTTTACAAATTTATTTTATTACATTTTGGTTATTAAAAAAAATTGTTTTGCAAGAATGATTTATTTGTGGTAATTTGACTAGTGTTCAAACTGATATTATCCTTGTTGCAAGAACGATGTCTACACTGTTCTTAAGCGAATTGAGTATCACCCGGACTCGTGTTCTGGTCAAGCCAGCCGCAAATAATTAATAACAGCGAAGCGCGACAAATCCCAGAACATTGACGGCATGTAAGTACTAGACGAACAAAACTGAACAGGGGTCAGAGAGAGACAGAGAGAGAAAAGGGGAGAGAGGAAAGCTAATGCCCAGCTAATGCTCGCGGTAAGCCCTTTAAAAGCGTTCCGGGGACGGTGCAGTCTTTCATCCGTCCCGCCACCTACTTACATGCGAATTTGCACCTACAAAAGGGTCCCGCTCCATACAATTGTTCGTTAAATTGTGTCGAGATCATCCTGCGGCTAAATAAGATGCTTGGCAAGCGAATCAATGCACCGGAAGAGAGTAACGGCTTTGTTCGCGGTCTGGGTAATTGGTCATTACTCGGAGAAAATAAAACAAAGTTGACAGTATGATTAATATATATTATATCTTGACGAGAAATATTTGTGCAAAAAAAATCCAAAACGAAAGAGAGACAGAGAGAGAGAGATAGAGATAATCAAACATATGTATCTCACGTATCTAAAACCGACTGAATTTAAAGACGATGCATCACGAAAAATCAGGAATGAATAAGCATCGAATAGACGAGAGAGATGGAAAATTCTGTAAAAAAGGCTTCCGGCGGAAATAGGCTTAATTTCGCGGAGGAATTGAGACGGACCCTTGCCATGAACCGCGCGTATGAATGTACCTTGTGTCAGCGACCGGTAGCCGTAAGGTCCTGTAAGGAACCAAGGGATCCTGACGCGCGAATCCCGAATTCGGAGCTTATCCGGGATTTCTTTCCTACGGGCCCTGCCTATATGTTCGCGCGTGTCTGCCCGAGAATACACGACCAAGGATACACCTGCGAGGATAATGCCTCCTTTAACGCGCAACGGTGCGCGAAGGATCTGGCGGCACTCTCAACCGAATGATCTTCTTGCTTTTGTTTGTCGTTGTTCCTCGCATCACGAAAAGGATCCTTGGAGGATCCTTTCTCCTTCCCTGTGAAGTTTTTCGAAAATTTTGCAGAATTTTCAAAGTCAGTTTTCGGTGCCATGTAAAACGAACTGTCTCCCGAGTATCTTTGTGACAAATCACAGAGAATCGTCTCTGCGGCGGCAAAGCGCGCAAATCACCGAGGATCGGCGACACTCGCGCGTCGTCGAATTGATAGATGAGAATGCGAGAGGACACAGATACAGAATACACCGGCGGTTGGTATTCCCAGCGTGCAATAGGCAGCGGGAGTCTCTAAGCTTTTAGCCCGGGCAAATAAATCGCGGCTTGCGAGAAACCGGCATTCGCGGATAAATCCTCGCGTTTTCCAGTACGCCATCGAACGTCCCT